ACAGGGAGAGCCACTTCGTGCGCAGCTGTCCAACTGGCACCGGCTCCTCAGGTCGCCAGCGACACCAGAAAGGAGCGCGCAAGACTGGGAAAGCAGTGGTGCCTGATGGAGAGTCCTACATGCCGGCTGTAGGCGGCGACATTTCATGCGAGAAGCAAGGCAATCATGATGGCGAGTCAATTCAGCGACATGTCATAACTACCTCCACAATAACGGAGCGGCTTTAACAACATCTCCTCTCATTGGGAAGTGCACGCACTGCCAGTGATTAAAATGTTACCAGCGCATTCGGAGAGCACAGCCGCAGGCTCGTTAGGCATCGGTTCACGTTGAGGTTGACAAGCGCATTGAATGAAAACTGGAAAACAGACATAAAAGAGAGTGTGAACCGAATGTGGGAATGGAGCAGGAAAGAGCCTGGTGAGTAATGAGAAAACCGCACGGAATGACCCCACCCAATAAATAAAAAGCTACCCCCAACTGACGGAGCGCGGGCGGATTCAGCCAGCCGGCTAACCCGCTCCTCAAGCGTTAACGCTGACGACTTCGACCCTGCTAAGCTTCCAAACGACCCGCCCGGTCCACCGCGACACGCGTTAAAGCTCCAGCCAGGCCAAGGCCCAGGAGCTCCGTTCACTGCCTCCGGACACGCTGCTGGCCTGCAGCTTCCGGCGGCCGTCCCCGGGTGTTGCGATTAACCGCTGTTGGTGAATTTTCAGCACACATTACGAGCCATAGTGGCCGCTCTTCTGGTTATAATCCACTCCGTGCTGTCCCGGTGCTGTGAATGTGCAGGCACTGCCGCGCGTGCCTTGGACGCGAGCTGGCAGCAGCACTGTGGTGGGACACCGGACACCAGGTGGCTGTGCGTTGTGGTTGGAGGAGGTGACGCAGACACAGCGTTCGAGCGTGCGGGGAGGACGGGCGCTAGACCTGGCTGCTGCTGGCCTGGGACTGACGAGACCGTCCAAGAGAGGGTTCGAGGGGACCCAATGGAGGCGTCACTGCGCTCGGCGGGCGGGTGACTTCCGTTGTCCTCAGTGGAGCACACCTTTTCTCATTAGATTCGCTTTGTTATGTTGTATGGTTACTATAGCGTCACTCTTTTTACCAGTATTATTTTTATTTGTGCTACGGTTGTGAGTATGTTTTATGGGCCCACAAGGGAAACTTAATGTTCACACAATAAGAGATAAAATAAAACGTATTATTTCTGCCTGGTTGAAACTGTTATGAAGCTGATTGACCAGCTTGACAATAAACCTAGGGGGAGGAATGTTATACATTTTGTAGTCACTGGGGAAGAAGTGCAGCTGATTCGGATCAGCTCGAGTTAAGTAGACTATTCTATTACTTCGTTATCTTTTCTCCCTATGGCTTTCATATTGGTTTACTCACTCTTGATAATGATTTAAATCAAAAGAAGGTCTGGTGGGTTGTATAAATGTATCAGATGATGACAATGCCTAAAGTAAAATGAATAAAAAAGCTAACTAAGGAGTTCACCCTATAGTCAAGTAAAAGTAGTTTAAGCTGGACAGGTCGCGGCGATGATCAAAAATTTGAAGGTGAGTGACTGCCCCTTGTATCTCACTGCCAAAACGGGGAGGAAAACGGCCTCACTTCGTAATCCTCAGCTAGGTCTTTCTCCAGTCATTTCCCCAGCAAACCACTTGAGCAACACTTCTACAAGAAAGCAAGTTTAAAACTTTATTTTCATAATATTGATACCACTGGCTGACATATGTGATCAATATGGAAATTCCTCACATAAGTGTATTTGAGGAAAAGACTCCCACAGACATAGACAGAACACTGGAGGGCAACATGGACATGACTGATTATTTATGACGTGCTGTTTTATTAGGAAAAATAGCTATGATAAGTGTGCCAAGACACACCAAAGGATAATGACACCCATCATATGTGAAAAGATGTTGCTTACAGACATTAGCTAATCATTTTGCTCAATAAATGAATCAGTATAAATGAATTGGTATTATTAGTGGGACCTCTTTGTCTAGTTTTAGGATTAGAATGAAGATCTGAACACATTTAGGTCATATTAATGTAGCAAAACAGAAAACTCTCAAGAGTTCACAAACTTTCTGACAGCACTGCACATTTCTGGATCTGTCTCCCACTACACATCTGCAGTGAAAACAGGAGTTAGCTCAGGGAAGCATGTTATGTGAACATAGGACACTATAACTGACATGGCTTTTTTTTTTATATTTATTTTTTGCACAGTTCATATCACAATATCCACAGGTCTCCTCACCCAACTTCTGGCAGATTTTACTGTGCACCGATACATGAGGTAAGGTGTTAAATGAGAATACAGATTTCAAATGAATCACTGCTGCCTCTGCAAACTAGGAAGTCAATTTTAGGGTAACAGTACTTTGCATTGTCAGTAGGAACATAGTGATTCTCACTTCTGTAAGTGGATATAGAAAGCAATCAAAACTTGACCATGAAGTCACGTGTAAGATAGTTAAAGCTTAAACTGCATCTTATTAAAGAGTAATGAATACTAAACAAGTCTTGAACTCTAAATGGGTTCAGGTAGCGACAAAGACAGCAGAAGTGCTCATTGCCATGGTGACGCACTGAACTATTTAAAGAAAAACGAATTTATTGAAGTTAATTAAAAAACAATCTTAAGTTAGGAGCTCTGATGGGAGCTTTCAGGTAGCCCACCCCCTACTGTACATGCTACATAGATCCTGTAAGCCTCACAGTCTCTGTGTCAAGCGTCCAACAGCCAGCATGTCGTTGTTAGACAGGGGGCACTATGAATAGGCAATGTCTGGCAGCAGATCTTCACTTGTCATTGTACTGAGTGAACTCCTTCAGAGCCCAGTTTTTCATTTCTATCTCCTGCCGTAATCTGCAGTACTCCTCAGCCAGGGCCTCAAACTCTTTGCCCAAGATCTCAAAGGAGGCCAGCTTTAACTCAACAGACTGCTTCTCTGCCTGACAGACCTTCAGCTCAGAGTCCAGCTTCTCTCTGAAATTAGGACAACAAAATGAACAAAGAATTAACAACAAAAGATTGTGACAGTTATCAGCCAGAATGTAGTTTCTATAAAAACTTTTCTGAAGGCTCGGATCAGTTGATGATAAATGATAAACACTAGTTAGAAACAGTATGTATTCACTAGTCGAGTGCACAATATGAATAATATAAGAATTACATGACAAAAAGGAATTTCTTAAGAGATTAACAAAAAGCCTCTTGCCTTATTTTCCTATGAGCAGATATTGAGTCCACTGTGTACGTGTCCAGCTGAATTTCCACCATCTCAGTCCTTTGAGGGAAGAAGAGAAACACATTTGTAAATAAACTGAAATACATGTAAAAAGGATGATCTAAGAATTTGACTTTTGCCCTCCTACCAAGTCTGTCTATATAAAGGCAATAAATAATTGTATGTATACGGTGGTGTGTTCTTTATACCGGGATAGTTTTCTACAATTTTTCTGAAGTTGAATAATTTTAGTTGAATAATTATAACAAATCATAACCCACATATTGTGAGTAAAAGAGAAGTATCACCAGATTGCACATAGACAGTCCTAATTTAAAAAGGTCCAGTGTGTATGAGTTTGTGGCATGTAGTTGCTGATTGCAACCCCCTGGCCTCACCCTCCCTGTCCAAGGGTGTAGGAGAAACTACAGTGGCCCAGAAACTCATGAAAGGCCCTATCTACAGCCA